TGTGTGTGTGCCTGTGTGTGTGCACCTGACTGCACAGCATTGGAGAAGAAGCAATGCTGGACTCCAGAAGGCGGCATCACACGCGGTATCAGGCCTCCTTACCTGGACGCTGGGATCTGAAAACAATACCATGTAGGAGCAGTGAGCAATCTCAAAGGCGGCCGGTCTCTCTAGGCCACTGGCCGGCTTCTGAAGGCTGCTCACTGGGACCATCCAGGTCTTCTCCACTAATTCCACCCTCCATATTGCCCACAGCTCTGCAGTGTCCACACCACAGCCACTACACCCACTGCCTACCTCCTTGCCTGCCTTCCTGCCGGGACCCAGAAGGCCACTGTATGTTTGTGTGTGTGTGTGTGTGTTTGTGTGTGTGTGTGTATATGTGTGTTTGTGTATGTGTGTATGTGTGTGTGTGTGCCAGAGGAAACCCCCTGGTGGTATTGAGGAACAATCCTTTATTTTTTTGAGACAGGAACTCTCATCACTGGCCTGGAACTGGCCACGGGAGTAGGGGCTAGCTACCCCTCACCCCAGCCCCCCACCCCCCCACATCTCATCCCCCCACTCCACAACCCTCGCCCCTCATCCCCCCACCCTTCCCCCTCCCCCACACCCCTTGCCCCACCCCCCACCCCCTCGCTCCACACACCTCACACCCTCACCCCCCCACACCCCTTGCTCCACACACCCCACACCCTCACCCCCCCACTCCACACCCCTCGCCCTCCCCCTCCCCCACACCCCTCCGCCCTCGCCTGATCGCCTCACTCAGTTTCCCCTGCGCAGACAAGAATTGTGCTGTGCCCTGGGCCATCATTTTTTCCAGGCTCTGCTTGGGAGGGCGCAGTCTAGTGTACGTGCCAGAACCCCCCCAGGAGCTTCAGGTCGCCCACCTCTGCTTCCCTAACAAGCTTCTGGGTTGTTTCTGGGGCTGGGAGGTGCTGACAGAGCGTGGAGTCTGGGGCTCAGCCGCTCAGCTAGCAGAGTCCTGCGGTCGGTGCCCAGCAGGCGCAGACTGGCTGTGCCGGTGCCGGTCTGTAGTCGGCACTGCAGGGTGAGGCAGGGAGCGGGCCAGCCTGCTTGCACAGACTGTGCCACAGAAGGGGGGTGACGGTGAGGCAGGACGCGTGCGCCCAGCCCGGTGCGAGCCTCTCAGGCCGGGGAGAGGTCTGGGTGGCCCCTGTCTGTCCGGCCGTGACTTGAGAGGGCCTCGTGAGGGAGGGCTAGCCCAGGCGATTGAGGACATCAGCATCCGCTGATGGCGGAGGGCCGAGAGGACGCGCTCCAGCCCATACCCTCCATCTCCCCCGCGCCAGCGCTGCTGTGTATGGGGCGCATGTGCGCAGGCACGGTATGCACGTGGAGGCCGGAGCTCAACCTTGGATGTGGTGTTGACATGTCTACTTAAGACGGGCTCCGGGCCTGACAAGATGGCTCAGCCGGGAGAGCCCGATCCCAGGGCCACATGGCAGGAGAGAGCGAAGTCCCGCTTCCCCCTGACTTCCTCAGGGCCACGCTCCTACACACACACACACACACACACACACACACACACACACACACACACA